TATATATATATATGCAAAAAGAAAATAACTTGAAAAACCTAAATAGCTTCCCACAACCATAAAATCAACACATAAATAAATTATATACCATTCGAATGTAGAGTCTTGACTATTGGAGTTGTATCCATGGCATTTACTAAAAGGAAAGATAAAATTTTTAAACACATTTTATCGCCAGTTTAACAAAAGTATATTTCAAAATTAAATAATACAAATACAAAACAAAATAATTATTAAGAAAAAATATAAGCCTTTAATTTTAATAATATTAATTTCTCCCTTTCGGAGCAAGATTGTTTGTGGGAATACACTTACTATATGTCACAACGAGTCCTTAAAAAGAGTTTCGGGTTTGGTTATAATATAAAGGATAGGGATATAATAAACAATTAACATTTTGATTATTCATAGTTCATAATAATTATTTAAAAGGTTTTTAAAACTGGGTTTACCTACAAACTACAATCTAAAATAAAATTTATTCTCCTCACTTGTATGCATAATAGATGCCTATCGAATGGAAACAGCTATTAAGAAACAGCATTTCTTTAGTTTTAATGGACTGCAAAACACAATAGAATATGCGAAGAAATTGCTTGGAACGACGTAAAAAAAAAAAAAAAAAAAAAATACCGGTTGTATATCTCCAAGAAGACTTGGAGATCTGCTACTAGCGAGAAGCCAGACAGATCAAAAGTATCTATTTATGTAGTCCCACTATCAAGGACATACAAAATTATCCTATTTATATTAAGTAGTAATGTAGAAAATGATCACAACCATATTATTTATTTTCTTTATAGTTAGCGATCTTTAAATAAAACAATAAACTGGTTCTTCTTTTGAATGTATTATGATAATTACCTTCATTACTTGCGTATTCCATAGGTAACGGCAGGTGGTTAGTGGACTTCTTGTCAAGCTCATCTTGATGTTTAGACCTCATAAAATAGACAGTGGCGACAATAAAGATGACCAGGAAGAACACGCCAGTCACAATGGCTCCAGCAATAAATCGTATTTGCATTGAATCCTCGTAAACTATGAATATAGAGTGGATGACAATGGTAAGATATTTATGCGTGAAGGAGACTTCTTATGGAGCAGTCAACTCAGCAGCAACTAAAGAAAACAGCGACCGGATAAGCGACAAGTAAGAGTGCCCGATCTAAAGAGCTTAAAATGTTTTCTTGCATAAAATCTGAGCTACTTCAAAAAGAGACAACATGAATACTTCCAATAGTATACACTTCCCTAACTTTTCTATTCTACTACTACTATGCCGAACACTATCTGATCCACAGTCAGAACTTAACTCTGGCCATGACGCAATCCTCGCTTTTGTCTGCAATTTTGGCGTAATATCTTCAGACCTCTTCTGAAGCAGGAAATGGTAATATGAGTGGTTAGTCGATGTCATTATATCATATTAATTATATCTTTTCATTCAAAGAAAAAGGCTTTCATAGTCAGAAAATGGTGGATCTTATTCAAGCCTGAACACTTAATAAATAGTGCCTAGAAATTTTCAAATTGCAAATGCTGACGAAATGCTCAAGATTGAACACTTGACATAGATAATATTCACAGATTATATTCGATAACCAACCCATACATTTGTCTAACAATTGGAAGCAGTTTTTTATTAACTACATCTATATTTACATGTGCTCGATTTCATCTCTATAATTAATTACTGATGAAGTATATTTGACGGAGTACATTTTAAGATTAACCACTCGATGACTACGGTTACGCATAGTTAGAGCAATAGTTACCTGTACCAACAGATTGATGTGTCTGGGCATACACCATGTTGCTATACGCACCAAAACCATTTACTGTTTTACAACGTACTTGGAAGCCGTATTCAGTATTTTCCAGTAGGTTATAAATAACTGCTTTTGTTTCCTTAGTGTTCAATGTGGTGTTATTGATAGTCTCCATTTCGGATTTGGGAAACCATCGTACTTCATATAGTTCAATCGGTGCATCAGTCTGCCCTGGTTTATCCCAAACTAGACTTGCTTCTTTGTTAGTTATGGCAACCACTCTTAAATTGAACACAGTCGAGAGCATTGCGGACTCGGTGGTAAATACAATTTCAGCATATTTTGTTTCAACTTCACTAAGATCAAGCTGGTGGCCGTTAATATTTGAAAAGCTTGAAGTATTGCTTAACGCATTATCACTGCTCGAATAGGTTAAATTATAATAAAGCCCGATATCGGCCACATAGGATATGCTATTCGCAGCATGGACCTGTACTGAATATGTTGTCGCTGGTTCCAGATTAGTGAGTGTGATTTTTGTTTCATTGAAAGTGTCCGTTGACGGATTGAACATAACATTTGAGCTGCAGCTACTGCAGCGCACTTTGTACACAACTTCTGTTCGATATTTCTCCAGACCATTTGCGGTTGCTAGCTGGTTATCGTCCCTTGTTGGTGCTGACCATGATATAATTGCACTGGTTTGATCTACAAATAATAGGGTTAAATTCATTGGCGCATTTGGCGGCTTATAACACGGCATATGTCTGCCATCAGCTGGATGCCTATAGTAGCCTGCTAGACAATTGCACATCGCGGATCCGGTTTTCGAACTATTCGAATTGGCTGGACATGATATACACTTCCGTACTTCAGCTGAGCGGAATGTGCCAGCAGGACATTCTGAAAGAGAAAAACAACAATCTTAGTGTGCTTACAATTGTATGCTTAGACTCCCATATGAGAAAACACTTGAAACCTAGAACAATGAGCCGGTTATTCGACCATTTTAAGTTTCGTGCATATACATACACTAGGCATAGATAGATAGATTAATAGACAATTATATGGAGCAATGTATCAATAACTATATTCCTTGACGATATCGATAACTAATCAGTTTCGACATCGATTCCCATTGTCCGAATGGCCAAGTTAAATTTAGTTTATTAATATATATTTTTACCAGAAAATATACATTTTATGATCTATGGGGCCAAGGTCTCCCATGCTTCATACATAGCAGTATTTATTGGGAGTTAGTTTAATTAATTTCTGTAAATTAATGTTCTGTAAAAGTATCGACTTGCTGGCACATGTATTGTTAATGATAGACCTACCTGTGCAAGTGTTATTAACTTCATTTGGTTCGTAGCCGACTTTGCAACGACAGCCACCTGTTAGTATTGTCCATTTGCCATCGCCCTTACATAAATAAGTTGGTGCCTCATACGGCTCAGCATTTTCTACGCACGTGCCATTCTGTTTCTCAATTATTGTTATCTCCCTTCCGGTGGGCGTTTCATTGAAATGAGCAAAGTTTTCGGTTACCGCAGGGCATGTTATGTAATAGACCTTAACGGCCAAAACACTGATGCAAGCGCCTTGATCACGAAATGCAAAATAAACTCCTTTCTTGCTGACAGCAATACTTTTCACTTCCGTATTAATATCCACATCAGAATTTTGATTAAAGCGCCCCTCTCCCGCCGCAATTCGAGCGATCAGTTTGTAGCTATCTGTTTGCCAAGGCGGTGGCTCACGAGTTGCTGCATCGAATTCGTAAAAAAGCAAACTGAACGTTTCCTTACAGGACAAAGCATTTCCTATTTCCAATATAAATATTTTTTATAACGTTTGAGTATTTGTATTTTTGTGTATTACCTGGAAATAGCGAACAGTCTCGTATCGTGAACTGTATCTCAATATAAAGTCGATTAGCTGGTCCGCGATCAATGAATGGTGACCATAGCCAATTGTTAACGTTGTGATATGCAACATCACAGACCACATAGCTGCGCCAGTTGATGCCCTTTACGAAATCTGTGAATGATTCCTCTACCCACTTCAAGAACCCAAAATTAGTATATCATACTTACATTTTAACTTAACTTAAATCATGATCTTGAGACTATGTCGGTTTGGGAGATTTTCTATGTAGAAATCGTTATTTAAATATATTTGTCTTAATCAATTTATCAATTTACAATCATTGAAACAGGTTGATAGTTGACAATTCTATAACTTAATCGTATGTGCATCTGTAGATAGTAGAGAGAATACAATCCTTAAAAGCAATTCAGGGTAGTGTCCAACATGGTCACAGAAATGTCCGCCATATCTACATCTTGATGTAGACGCAAGCCTTTATCATTTTAAATAAAATGGCTTCTAAATACTGGAAATAACATTTTCCCATGTTACGCATCTAGTATCAGAGAAATTTTAACAATTTATATATTTATGTACTCTTATTTCAAAAGTGACAAAATGGTTGACGGTCATAGCGTCGGACATTGCACAAAACTAATATACTCTACTTTCGTGAATAAGTTAACGTTGTTTAATTCAATTTAAATACTTACGCCTGGAGTCTGAGCCTGAGGACCGTATGGATACCTAGTCCATTCCAGAGTGGCTTCTCTCGTCGTGTCCAATAGCACAACTTTAAATAGAAGAAGAGAAAGCATCAGTAATGAAAGCAAAAGTAAATTGGGTGGCCTCACCTTGATCAGCATTTGCAATTTGCAAGTTGTATATCACGCTTATTATCCAAATTAATAGAACAATTGAGAAATTACTGAATGGAATAAGGGAAGTCAGCTTATTGTGTTTTGTTCTATTCCGATTTTGATTTGAGTTTTGTGTTTGGAATATGCGAAAAGTCCAGTGAATTGTTGACATTTTATATATTTCGTATATATGTATATTATATATATGTATATAAGCTCCCGTAGCAATCAAGTTATGAAATCAGTTTAGTCTGTCATATAAGTAATGAGTCCATCAAATACATCTCGATCAATATCCAATTCGATTAACACCATATATGTACATATGTATAAACCTGAAGATTACAAAAATATATGCTTAATTGATAATATATGTATAATATAAATAAGTAAATATAACGACTCTTAGAACATGCGTTGCATTCTAGTTTCAGAATTTAGTTATTAGTTGTTTACTAAATCATGTTTCGCCGCGTACATTGACTACCCCTATTGCATTTGTATTATAGTTTTTGCTTACAATCTTCAAAAATACACCAATGGAACCTTTTGTTTATACATATGTACATGTTTGCATGAAAATGCATGTACATACTTGCATGTCTATTTACAATGTATGTATGTGTGTAGATGAAAGTACAGCAATTTCCCCAAGATTAACGCACAACATAGCATGCATGTAGTTTAAGATTTATGGCATTTATAATTTTGCGGTAAGCTAAACATTATCTTTGTTAAGTATTGAATTGAATTGTATGCACGCTCAAGCTTTCCTCGCGACACATATACATACATACATATGTATTTTTCATTTCGATGTACATATATGTAAATAAATACATACATACACATGTATGTGTGTATACACACATTCACTTTTCAAGCCAATCACTGGTTGCTTTAAATCAAAGCTTAGTTTACATAAATATACGGCAAGTTATCGATTTATCATATTAGAGTCACACATTTTTTAATTCATTTAACTATTATTGTTTTCATAAAAGCAAAATATGTATATGTACACACATTAATTTCTAAAAAAAAGTGCTGCCACACTTGATAGTTTTCAGCATTGTTGAGCGAAAATCTCTTCGATATTTACCAACACTATACGGTTCGACATACATTCAGAAGTATCTTGCTTTGGAATCATTATTTTTTTCGAATAGTAAATCATCAATAAAATATTATTTATGTATATCGTTCATTTCTTTATTACTTGTATTACTATTATTTTCTTCAGTTAGATTCAATTTTATTGAAACAACGACACCAATAAACGACCCAATCTATCTATCGCTTACTATTCGAGACTTTGAAATATATTGCTTTAGAGTTGAGTGAATTTACAAAATAAAATGCGCTTATTTTTAGTATAAACGTTCTTATGATTCTACTTATTCACAACCCATACCCATATATATTGTAAATCAAGAGTGGCATTATTAATGCGGATCGGGAAAATCATCACAAAAGATATTTAATTAAATTGAATTGGCGGTCTTTTTATTAGATATAAAAATATGTATATTAATCGCTGCTCGATAACAGCCGAATGTATCGAATAAAATGCATAATATCCACATCTAAGTACGTACTCCCTTTGCAGGAACAGCAACGAGCGTTCATTGCTCGTCTAATTCATTTCTTATTCAAATATTTTTAGGGAAAATAACAAATTTGCAGTTCTATTCGATTTGAAAAAGTTAAATCACTGATTCTAAGCTTCGTGATGATAGTGTGACCAAACAATAATTTGTAAAATATACCGAACAAGATCTGCACGGACTTGAAAAATCAATATAATTCACATTACATTATTTTTGCGAGCACTTAAGTTCTTTAATGTTAATAAAATTGGAAAGTGTAATATATTTGTATTTGAATCGTTGTATTAAAAGAATTTAAATATTGTGGTATATAATTTAAGCCGTGATTTTATATGTAAGTCGTCAGTATGGTCAATTAAATATTTATTACTATAATCATAAAAATAATATGTGTATACCATTTTTAAATCGCAAATTGCAAAGAATATATTAATATAAATACAGTAAGTCGATTTGAATATTGTATACCTACTAACAGATTGTGGTCATAAAATTTGTATGAATATATATTTATTTGTAATTAAATATGAATATGTATTTGTCAATAACTATACACATACACATATTCATGTTTAAGTTCAGCGTAAATAAATCGATCGGGGTTTATTCACAACTTCACCAAAATTATTTTTAATATCGCAACAACCACACACCCATATATGTGCAAACACATACAACAAGAAATTTGAGCTGATGTATGTATGTATGCATATAAATTTGATTTTCGAGATCTACAAACTTCTCAACCTAATCTAAATATTTGTAGAAAAATCCATAAATTCTGTATTAGACTTATACATACATGTACAAACGTATTCATACATGTGTAAACATGTGTAAACAATATTTTTAAAACCTAATCAGTTGGGAAATAACCTTTGACTTCTCAAAATAATTGCATGTTTCTCTATTGACTGCATGTACGTACGCACGTACATATGTATGTACAATCATTTATATATAAATAAATAAACTAATTTTTTACTGAAATTATATCATAAGCAGTATTATAGTAGTATATGTATGTACTTACTATTTTGTCATTTATTATAGTTGCAAAATTATTTTGAAAGGATTCGATGGTAAATTTTCTTGATTAATTTATTAATACAAAGATTTGAAGTGATGCCACTGTTTGGCAAAAAAGATTCTGGCAAAAGGCCCAAGTCGAAGGACACGAAGGAACTAAACAAACAGGTCTCAATTGAAGAGAAATACAATCTGCACGGTCTACTCGGAACGTAAGTAAATAATGTATTAATGTCCTTACATACTTAACAAATTCTACTAAACAAACTGTAGTGGCGCATTTTCCGAAGTACGCTTAGCGGAAAGCAAAGATACGCCGGGCGATCACTTTGCAGTTAAAATCATTGATAAAAAGGCACTGAAAGGAAAAGAGGAATCTTTGGAAAATGAAATACGTGTTCTGCGAAGGTAAGTTTAATCTCGAGATATGTATATATATAGATATAGAAAGCTAAAGTGTAGCAATCGGACACAATCGACTGCATAATGCTCCTTCACATTTATGAAAACATCGACTTTTCAGCAGAAGAAAAATGTGAAAAGGAATAAAATAAGGGAAGCAGAATAGCAAAKTAGAAAGAAGCAGAAAGAAAGAAGGCGGAAAATAAAAGAGGAAAAGGGAACAGGCTTGGAGCTTAGAGGAGAAGAAATTAAGATCGAGAGTAAAAAGATATGAAGGGAAGAAGAAAGGAAGAAGCATAGAAGCGGACAAAATCTGTATTCAATGAAGACTGTCCGAATATAAAGGACGTTTATAAGTTTTATATATTTCAAATCCTCTCTGTTAACTACTTACATACACACACATTAAAAATACAAAAATGAGTCGCAAACAGAGAAAATTTCAAACGAATACAGTAATATATGAGGGCATTAAGAGGTCTCTATTTCCATTGCTATTCTCTATTTGTATATTTATTATATTTTTCATTATGTTTGCATGATCAGCCTTATATATATTTTTTTTATTTTTATCTATGAATAGATAGTTTAGTTTACTCAAGATTAGTTATCTTGAGTTACGTAAACTCTATAAAAACTCTATAGTGTTCTATTTGTGTTCAAAATTTGTACTGTATTTGTGTTCCTTTTTTGTCTTATGTTCTCATTATTTTACTTTGTAAATTTTTCTTCTTCATTTAATCTGCTTTCTTTCTATGTAGGTTTAGTGCAAACCATTTTGATGGCAACAGTCCGAATGGAACGCGGTGAGTTTTGATCCCAATTCAAAAACTAAAAAAAAAAAAAAAACAATTAAAAATATCCCGTTTTTAAGTCAAAAGAGATTTAACTACATCTTAAATTAGATAGAATTTGTCCGAAATTCCCCATAAATTTACTAGAGGGCACTAAACTCAAGTATCCTCAGAAGAGCCTAAAGACAATGAATATTTCAATTCCAATGAATTATTGTGATAAAAGTCTATTTATCTACTTCTTTTGGTTTGTTGTATTTACAGACTCACCCACCCGAATATAGTGCAGCTACTTGAGACATATGAAGACAAGGCTAAGGTGTATCTGGTCATGGAACTGTATGCATATTGAACTTAAAACATTCTCAAATGAATTCATATAAATAAAAAAGATATATAAAAATAACTATTTCTATAGGGTAACAGGTGGAGAGTTGTTCGATCGTATCGTAGAGAAGGGCTCATATACAGAGAAGGATGCATCACACTTAATTAGACAAATCTTAGAGGCTGTAGACTATATGCATGAGCAGGGCGTAGTACACAGAGATCTTAAGGTAAACAATCCAAAATATTATTGCATATTATATTTTTATTATTTTGTTATATATATGTTTTTTTTTTTGCTATACAGCCCGAAAACTTACTTTACTACAGTCCAGAAGATGATAGTAAAATAATGATAAGTGACTTTGGTTTATCAAAAATGGAGGATTCGGGAATTATGGCAACTGCTTGCGGAACTCCTGGCTATGTGGCACCAGAGGTGCTCGCCCAAAAGCCTTATGGCAAAGCCGTTGATGTATGGAGCATAGGCGTTATATCCTATATACTACTTTGCGGATATCCTCCCTTTTATGATGAAAACGATGCCAATTTATTTGCACAAATTCTTAAAGGTGTGTTTGATTATATATTTAGCTTTGTCGAGCGATGCGAGACGTAAATTCGGCAGTACAAAGACCAATAGAATTCAGTAATAAATCATGCTACAATTCCTAATTTCTATGAAGCTCAATTATTCTGAATCCATTACAAATGGTCATGAAAGCGCAGTAAATCCTAGATCAACTGCTAAAGCATCGATAATTTGCTCAGTTTTCAAGGATTTGATCGAATACATAATAGGTATTTCTAAAAATATTTTACTTATAACAATATATTTTTTTCAAGGTGAATTTGAATTCGATTCGCCATATTGGGACGAAATAAGCGAGTCAGCCAAGCACTTTATTAAAAACTTAATGTGTGTCAATGTAGAAAAGCGATATACTTGCAAGCAAGCTTTGGGACATCCATGGTAAGTTCAACAGGAGTATTTTAAATTTCTATTAGTATACTTATTTTGAATAATATTCGCTTCTAGGATATCTGGTAATGAGGCTAGCAGCAAGAATATTCATGGCACAGTCTCGGAGCAGCTGAAGAAAAACTTTGCTAAGAGTCGATGGAAGGTAAATTGAACTATTGCCCCTATATATGTATATGTCTCATACTTGTGTCTTGTGCTACTTATACAGCAAGCATATTATGCTGCAACAGTCATACGACAAATGCAGCGAATGGCGCTTAGTAGCAATAGCAGCGGATCAGCAGATGGCAATTCCTCTCTCAATACATCAACAGCAACAACTGCAACTGCAACTGACAATGGAAATGGCCGAAACTGTGTTAAAGAAGCTGAAGGCGAAGCAAATGTTGGAGCTATCAAACAATCATCCTCAACAACGAGCGCGCCGTCTTTAAATGAATCCCCGCACACAGATATTAAGAATCACCAAAGAATCTCGCCAAATTGTAGTTTCAGTGGCAAAGCAAACTAACATTTTTTAAACAGGCGTATTTAGACCATAAGCACAAAATGAATGCTATATTAAATCTGAGGGATGAACTTGGCGTATCCATAGAGTATTTGGTATATATTTTGCAGCATGAGACGTAGATAATATATCTATATCTCTATACTATATATACGCGCATATTTAAATAGTTTGAGGTCAATCATATATATATACCCTGAACCCATTGAAAATGGAAAATCAGGGAAAGTATGTAACAGGCAGACCGCGTAAAGTATATATATGTCTTGATCGAGCTGAGTCGATATAACCCTGTTCGTCCGTATGAGCAAGCCGATCTCAGAAGATATAAGAGCTAGAGGGGTGGAATTTTGCATGCATACTCGTGTATATCATACGCAGTACAAGTATATCATATTTTTTCGATAACTCACCCGATATGTTTTTATAGAGAATAATCGATAAATTGATTTAGGTTTTTCAGCCTAATTTGAGCACTTTTTGACCTTGGAAATTTGCGTTGTATATAAACTTAATGGATACAAAGATTTTCTAATTTACAAATTTTGGATACCACGCCCCCTTCGCCCCAATTGGTAAAAAACGTATTTCAAATACTAGAGACTTGTGCTTTAGAATGTACACACATTTTAACTATATGATTAAGCTCTGAAAGTTTCATAAAGATAGTCTTACTACAAGGGATTCACTAATAAATTCTCATAACATTTCCCACACTGCAGCGCAGTCCAAGCGCTGTCGCTGCTAACTGCGCAGTCAGCAGAGCGAGTGATATACGTGCGTGTATATGCATAAAAGAAGTGCAGAATGAGTAGAATATCAGCTTAGAGGGTTCATGGTATCTCCCAGTCGAGCAGTCTCGACTGGAGCCTTCTTTTTTAAATAAAAAAAAAAAAAAAAAAAAAAGAATTGTTTTGTAAATTGGTTTCTGTAGTTATATGAACTTTAAATAATTGACAACCTATGTATATTAATTAATTAAGCATTAATGTATATTAATGCTTAAAAATTTATATACATTATATATTATATTTTCGCAAGCTTTTCGCACTTGTACCCTGTGAAATATTCGTATTGTTGTTTAAATCAAATCTAATGAGCTGGAACATGTAATTATATCCAAATTACATTTAATATGTAATTAAATCCGAATTAATATGCTTTGATTAACTCGAGCCCTAGTTAAATGTGTATAATTTTTCTATACAACTAAATATGTCTACTAATTGTGAAATCGAAATCTATAAAGAAAAAAAACAACAAATTACTGCATACAGAGCTAATCATGGATGTCCTTTCCAATTTCTACTATATCGTTACTTCCATTAGTCAACAGTTTTCGCATATTATTAAATTTAAATTAACGTCAGCGATTGAGAAAGATGAAATATATATATTTTGTTGGACTGAAAACTATTCTATCTAATAATATATGTTATAAACTTGTGCATTATATACATTACATAGATTATTGCAAAAATTCTATAGAACTATACTCTACACAGCTGAATACCTTCAATTGGCTATGGTGTATACAAATAATGGCTAAATTTTACATCAAGCAGTAGAGGCTAGAGCACATATTTCAATGTCAGTATTAGTATTACAAATAGAAATCCGCGCAGAGTTCTTGATGAATTCAGGTCGAGTACTCCTAAGGTATTTTGCTTGATTCGACGACGTATTGCTGCACATTTTTATACCCTGAACCCATTGAAAATGGGAAATCAGGGTATAATGGTTTTGTGAAAAAGTATGTAACGGGCAGAAGGAGGCGTGGCAGATCCCACAAAGTATATATATTCTTGATCAGCGTGACGAGCTGAGTCGATATAGCCCTGTCCGTCCGTCCGTCCGTATGAGTGCGTCGATCTCAGAAGTTATAAGAGCTAGAGAGCTGAAATTTGGCATGCATACTCGTGTGTACCATACGCAGTACGAGTTTGCTTTATTTTTTCGATAAATCGTCCGATNTTACCATATGATTACACTCTGAAAGTTTCATTAAGATCATATGTTTACAAAAGAAATTATTCGACAAATAAATTCTCATAATATTGCCCACACTGCAGCGCAGCCCAAGCGCAGTCGCTGCTTACTGCGCAGTTAGCAGAGCGCAGGCTTATGCGTGCGTGTGGATGCATCTGTATGTATGTGTGCATAAAAGAAGTGCAGAATGATTAGAATATCAGATTAGAGGGTTCAGGGTATCTCCTAGTCGAGCAGTCTCGACTAGAGCTTTCTTACTTGTTTATTAACTAATAGTTTAAGTTAACAATTGCAATTGGATATAAACATACATAGATTAAAAGCATAATATCTAGCTAATATTTAATCATTTATAAATCTCCTTTTGATGCTATTTAAGAAGTTAATTTTTTTTTGTTTCGCTTCTTCTTTTTTTCGGAGCCACTCACTTTTTTCTTAGATACGCAAACGCGACAAAACCAATCTTCATTATCGTTTGGAGCCACAAGTATGCCCACGCATATCCTATAATGTTCAAGCATGATAATGATGTAAAAAAGATATTTTTCAGTACACAGACTCACCAATGATACCATGCATCGCATCCGTCGCAACCGATCATGGCGGAGCCATCATCAACTTTTCCACATGCCGGACAAATCCAGATACGATAGCCATCAGCATCAACATAAGACGAAGGACGACTTAGTTCTGCACTCTGTGGCGTTGTTGGAGTGGGCGTGCCGTCAGACACTTTCGTTGCATTCAATGCTGCACTAGGTCTTGAGCTCTGCTTTAAAGGTGACAATGACAATGACGACGATGATGACGATGAGGTTGGCTGCATTAATTGTTGGGGTAATAGAACCGAACTAGCTGATATTGTTGATGTGGCCACATTTGAAGTCCAATTGTTTGCTGTGGCTCCAGTTAGAGCAGATAGAGCTGGCGGCTGGGTACTTATCAGTGGTATTGTCAACGCCGGCGACATCATGGGTGGAATAGCCTGTGTTTTGGTACTAACCGTAGAAACAGAAGCAGATGGGGCCATAGATAAATTCAAATTTTGCGTTTCGCCTAAAACAAGATGACTTATTGAATTACGCTTCATAAAAGTATTTAATTTTAGAATTCTATTGCCTACATTGCTTTGGTTTCGGAGCTCGGGTTACAAGTGGCGAGAATCTAGCCAACTCTGGCGAATTGTCTCTTTTAGTCAATGTGCTTGCCGTCTGAGGAGGGTGTCCCGTCGTATTAGTTACTAGCGCATTATGTTCATGATCCACTCCATCGACTGTAGGCTGTGAGGGTGTTGATCTTCCACTAAGCTTTAGTGTTAGCTTTGGTACGTGGTTAGGTGAGAGGTCTAACTTAGGTGACGCTATCAAATTTGGGGTCATCGGTATTGAGTGACCAACTGTCGATGGAGCTAAAGCGTCGACGTCTCCTCCAACTACTGTAAGACCCACGGCACCTACAGTAATATTTTTTGATTGCTTCATATCACTGCTTCCTTTTCCTCCTCCTGCTTCGTGGTTCTCTTTCATTATTTGTAATCTATCCGTTGGCAACTATAAAACAATTATATATATTAAATAATTTTTTAATTAAATTTAGAAGTGATAATTCTTATTATGTAGTTTCGTTGATTATTGATCATGTTTCTTGAGAAATCGAAAAGTTGTCTCGAAAATGGTTGGCAGTGATCTTTAAACGAATATAATTACTTGCCTTTGATAAATATAAAATAATTGTTTGAGAAATCAATTTGGAAGGCTTACTTGTTTTTTTCGTTTCTTATCCTTTCTTAATTTTTTCTCTTCGCTTCTTATCTTTTCACTAGATAAGACATCCATATCATCTGCCCTACATTTATTGCGGATTTTGTCTTTTTTGTCTTTCTTTTTTTTTATCTTTCCCTCTTTCGGCTTTTTAAATTTTTTATGTAACTTTCGAATTTTAAGTTCACTGATTGTCATACTATTGGTTGGGGTAATCGTTAAATCGTCATAGCCTAGAGCCCCAAGGAAATGTGGTTCGGCTGCTGCTGCTGTTGTTGGTGCTATTGCATCAGTTGATGTGGTTGTTGGTGCACCAGAAGTGGCGCCAAGTGCTAGGCTTGTTGATGGCACTGTCAAGGACGAATATGCCAAGCCACTGTCAATCCGCGACAGGGGTATTAGATCTGCGCCACCAGCAAGGCTAAATTTATCGCTACCCATGAAATTGATCTTAAATGGTGTTGTCGTTGCTGCCGTTGTTTGTTTTGTTGCTGCTGCTCCTACTTCTGCTGCTGTTTTTGTTGCTGTTGCTGTCGTTGGTTGTGGTGGGGGTGGCGCAACAGACAATAAGTTCTCATCAGTTTGACGCATTTTTAAAGTTTCCGTATGAGGTTGCCTATTGAATTGTGGTTGCAGCAAGGGATTGGAATTGATCGCATATAGTTGACATGCTTCAATACTTGGATTCATAAGACTCGAAGATTGCTTTAATTTCGATTTGTGACGAGGTGATAGACTGTTATTAGCCTTGGATTCGCCGTCGTTTGAGTCCGAATCGGATACCTCGATGGGATCACCGACGTTGCCTGTTGCAGTTGACAATAATTTTGCTTGTACCTTTCTAGTGTTAGTGGTGTCATCGTTAACAGCTTGAACGACAGTTGATCTATGAGCTACTTCTGCATCAGCGAACTCGTTACTTAGCATTCGATGGGGTGACTTAAGGTTAACGCCTTCAACTGGCAAAGTTGGCAATTTCATAGAGTCTGGTACCAGCGGCGCAACATTGCAATAGCTGCGCTCCATATGAATGTCTGACAGCGGCATTAGTCCACCCAGAGCATTTGCTTTATTATCTGTGAATTAAAAATTAGAATATTTCTTTATCTAAACCCTAAGTATGTTTCATGCTTACCCGGAGCTGTAGCTGAGAAGTTCATAAACGAATGTGGCATAATTAAATTAGAGGCCGTGCCGCAGGCAACCGACTTGTTAAAGCCAGTTAAATTCGGTGGAAATAAGCCTGGACCCGTTGGTATTAGGCCAGGTCGTGGAGGAAAGTGCAATAAGGGTAGCATTGGCATTATATTTCGCTCATTGTTTGAGCTTGAAAAATTGTTTGCTGTCTTTGGCCCAGAGTTAGTTGCAAAGCTAAGACTTCCAACTAGCTTTGTATCCGATTCCGCCCCTATGACAAGCGTTGAACCCTTCGACATTTTCATATCTGAATCCATTAAACAAATCTTTTTATTCAATTCTCGCGTATTGTCAATAATATTGCTGTCCTGATATTTTGTTTTCGATTTTTTTCTCTCCTTTTTTTCTTTAGCTTTTTGCACCTTGTTTTCACCCTGATTGTCCGCAAAATTTACATTACTTTTCAATTGATCGACATGACTTAGATTCAGGGGCTCCATCACAGGCATATGAAATGTTAAGGGTAAGGGGACAGCACTGGACATGGTTGGCATCACTGTAGTACCGTCTTGATATGTATAAACTGGATTCAGCTTCGCGGCTTTTGTTTTCTTTTGTATCTGTATAGACGAAGGTATGGACGACATGTGACTTAATGAGGGTCCTTGAGGCCTGCATTGATTTTTGCCTCCTGGTTTACGGCCACGTTTTTTTGGTTTATTCAAATCATTATTCGGTAAATTGGTTGCTGCTGGAGGCAATTGCGGATAGGTGTCTAAGTAATCGTATGTTGCCAAATTACCCAATGACAAATTTAAATTAGTATTAGTTATGTTCTCATTGACACTTGGGGCTGGCGGTGCTGGTGTTATAGTTGTACCGGATGGCAAATTGATTAACGGCGATGCTACATTGTTGGCATTTTCATATGCATTCGAAGAAACATTCAATTTGCTAGCCTTTTGCTTGGAGATCTTCTTGAAAATATTCAATTTATTCCGATCTGGTTCGTTAGCTAGTTTTATTTCGTCAATCAATTCAATTGCTATGTTGGGCGCTGTGGCTATGTTATATGCTTCTTTGTCTTTGGCAGCAGGAGGAAGAAATCCCACTTCACTCACGGGCTGCTCAACTGGTTCAGGATTTAAGCTATTGAATGGATTCACTGGCATAGTGTTGATTGCATCTATACTTAACTTGGAAGTTGATTGAAATTGACATAGCGGCTGCTCCTGAAGCTGTTGTTGCTTTTGGTATTTGATTTGCTTCTGCCTTAGTTTTGTTTGCTTTTTTATCAATTTCTCAAATTGCGCTCGCTCTGTTGAACCATCTGGCAAATCGGATAATATGCCACGATTTAAGATTTTCATTTTCTTCAGGTCAATCACATTGCTGCCGCTGCTGCCACCTTCAATTTGATTCTTTGACAACTTTTGAAAAATTTTCAAAGCTTTTCGCCGAGCCTTATCCACAGCTTTGACAGAACTTGAATCATTAGTCGTCTGACCAGTAGATATATTTTTCTTTTTGCTTTTCTTGGGTTTCGTGTTCGGGGCTACTGTTGCAAACGCTGTCGCTCCTGTCGCAGCAGAGTTTCCTTCCTCATTACATTTATTAATTTCATTCGATATGGTCGGACCATCACATGGGGACTTTTGCTCTATCATTGCAATATCTGGCAAAAGCTCTAGAGAATCAAATTTTTTTATTTGTGAAATATCAACGGCATCATTTGTGGCATCCTTTTGCATTTCCAATAATTTAGGCACATGCGGAATAGAAGGTGCGTCTAGCCCTTTGAATTTTTCTAAAAACAAATATGCATATCTTTCAGTATTATTATAGATACATGTTATGGATGATTTTATTATATATATATATATATAATCACAGGTGTAACTTAAAACCATTATCGACTAAAATAGCACATTCACAAACAAACAGCAGCTGTCCATTCAAACATAATTATATCGCGATTGTGATTCTAGAATGGAGATCATTGTCCATGCGTACTTTTACATGATAAGTAAAGTTATTATATCCGGGACCCATTGAAAATGGGAAATTAGGGTGTGATATGCGTTACAATTAGAAAGTAGAGTCGTGACAGAACCCATCTGTATACATATTATATTCTTCGTAGTTAGTTGACTACCTGCTCTGGCAGTGAAAGTGGGGATTTGGGCAATGTAGCATACATTTCTTTTAATGAATCATTTTTATACCCTGAACCCATTGAAAATGGGAAATCAGGTTAAAAGCATGTAACAGACAGAAGGAGACGTGGCAGACCCCACAGAGTATATATATATATATATTCTTGATCAGGGCGACGAGCTGTCCGTCTGTCCTTACGTATGAACGCGTCGATCTCAAAAGATATAAAAGCTTTTCTCTCGAAATCGACAACTACTCTCCATATTTTGTTATCGATTAAAAGCCCTGCAGATAGTCCATCGACAAGAAAAGTTATTAAACAATTAAGTTCCAATAGTGAGCCCACACCGCAGTCCATGCGTGTTTATACGTGCATGCCTATGTGTGTGTGTGTGTTTTTCTTGTGTAAGCAGAAAGACACGAAGAATTATTGAAATATCAATTCTTAGAAGGTTCCTTACATGCTATGTTTATATTTAAGGAACGACTTTCAGGGGATCTCCTAGTCGGGCACCTGGACTAGTTTCCTTATTTGACACTTACATAAAGAATTCTAATAAAAAGTTCATCATGCGATATATATGGTCTATAAAGTAGTCTGCAAAGTGGCCATTTAGTGATATGAAAATTCTTTCTCAACAAAATTAATCAATTCGCGGTATTGACTACATTTCAAGTCAAAAGAGATAGCGATCTCTTGTAGCTTCCGAGACCAGTGCGTTCAATAGAACACGTATTCTCTCTGTTACAGGCAATCCTTTTTATTGTTGCTTATTAATAATTGTCTGTGTACTCACCAATAATGTCTGGTACGTAAGCTTCTGGTAATTTGCCCTCAATTGCCGGCGATATGAACCCTCCAGTCGTCATAACGACGCTACTGATTTCTCGTATTGCATGACCATTGTCCAAGTTGTCAGTAGAGGATGAATTTTGAGTAGACAACTTTGGTATACCAACGACGATAGTTGCCGTAGCAGGAAAGGGGTTCTTCACATCTTGAATTAGCTTCGTCGTTGTAAGCTCTCGATTTGATTCCAGTTTACATAGTTGAAGATGTTCGTGCTCCGATTTCTCTGGCCATCTGATTGAGGAGGTAGAGTTGGAACAGGAGACAGTTGGCGTTGGTTCTGTGGGCAACATCGGTGGTAGGTATTCAAATATGTGAACGGGTCTCGTGAGAGTCTCTACACTGCCGGGTTTTAGGAAATTCAAGTTTGAATTTCTCTTTACTGGATATGCTGGTATTTCGCGAACGAATGGTATTGGCTCCACATTTCCAATATAATCTAGTAGCTCGGGTACATTAATGTTAACATTTTTTAGGCTCAGCACTGCATCCTTCAAATTTGGCTCAATGCGATTTGCTATATGGGATAATATAATTACATATCCGACTGTACGCATGTACATATTTAGAGAGAAGGTATTTACCGTGCTCGGCTTGGCTGTGTAGGTCCCGCGCAAGTTCTTGGATAAAACGCAATAAAATGTCCTCTAGCAGTTCTAGCGGCACACTCTGGGTTCTGTTATACCCAATAGTTTGCGCTATTTGGGCTATAACAACACCCAATAACTCAGAAGTATATTTTTCAGTCATCGTCTTTGCGAGCTGACGTCTTTCAGAAATAATTTTGTTTTAGTTATTTGCATGGATTGGTACTCTCCTGGTGTTGAGAAACAAACACAGGAAAAATTGTATTGTATTTGCTTTAGTCCCATAGAATTATATCATTTACAATTCATTGTTTTACCAATTTCGGGCAAGTGATTTTTTCAATTTTTTCTTACAAAGTTTCTAGTTCCGATAGACGTGAACTTTATTGCGCTTTTTTTACATGTATATAATTAAAAGAGTTCGGCGATAATAAATACGTGATACGACTACAAGAACAGAGATGTAACCGATATGTGTTATTAGTGGACTATCGACTTGTTCAAATTAAAGAAGCAGTGCTGCCACTAACCATACTATACATTAGTACTGGAGAAACATCGACATTGACGACATCGATTTTTCGATTTCAATCAAATACATCGATGTATCGATGAAACATCGGGAAATTTTGTATGGGAAAGTTTACCATCGAATATTCTAAGAGGTCTCATTTGAGACCGAATCTTTTTTGTTGATAATACTAGCATGTTGAGCTGGGAATCTATCGATGGTGGCAACACTTGATCGATATTGCAGCGATGGAAAGAACTATCGATACTATCGATGGTTCAGTCTTTAACCATCGAAGGAGAGCACCAGCGATACTATTGATGTTTCCATCGGTAATTTAAACGGGTTTGCTTAAAACTATTTTAAGGATTTAAACATTCTTTTAAAATTTCATAATGTTTTTAAACAAAAACAGAGTGCACACAAAAATAAGTGAAAAAAAGATATAAATTCAACATGATATCTATAGCTAGGAGAATCACTGCAATGCTTAAATTAAAATAACTTCATTTTGATGTCAACAAGAATCATTTATTGTGTAAGAAAAAAAAAAAACAATAACTTCATTTTGATAACTTAACCAGATGGATACTGACAGGATATGCCAAATATAAGTCAATTGATTAATGAGCCATTGTTTTTTGTTCATAAATATCAATGTGTTGACTATAGTTGATATTAAACTCGACCTTCGGTCCGAAGCAATCGATCCAGTTTTTCCAAATGTTCTTTCTGATTTGGCAGAACTTGCTGGTATACATAAATATTATTTTAACATTCATAAGGGCTTACAATTATATCCCTGTAAAATACTTACGCGAATACTGTAAGAACTTTTTCATCATATAGTGTATTTTGGTCAGTGGTATTATGTACCTAACTCACAACAACTTCGATAGATCGAATTCAAAAAATTTCCATCGATCTATCGCATTTCACAAGTCCCATCGATACTATCGATAGAGCCCTCGATGGATTTCTCAGCTCTACTAGCATGTCAACATTTTTGGATTTTTCGCTGCCACGAAGTCCAGCTCAGTAGAGGTTCCTGACACGCACACATATTATTTTTAGCACGTTTTCTGCTTAATTTAGTTCATTGTGATGTATAGAAAGAGTTCTATTAAACCAGTAAATTTAGTATGGGTAACATTTTTACAAAACATCTAACATCGAACAAAAAACATCGATATTTCTCATTTTATTTGAAAAAAAAGGTCAGAAAACAGGACCACACTTCTAATCGTATTTTTTTCTTTATTCTAACAATTTTGAGACATTGTCAATTGAGTGATCAGTGTCCTCTTCCTCTTGCAATCAGTGTTGCCGTTTTCCCCGAGAAAAACCGCTGAATTAGGACGAAAAATAAGCTAAATCCCAGAAACAGTTAGCTGAAAACAAGTAAGAAGACTCTAGTCGAGACTGCTCGACTAGGAGATACCCTGAACCCTCTAAGCTGATATTCTAATCATTCTGCACTTCTTTTATGCACACATGCACACACATGCATCCACACGCACGCATAAGCATGCGCTCTGCTAACTGCGCAGTAACACTAACCAGAGAGTTCTCTGGTTAGTGGCAGTAAGCAGCGGCTGCGCTTGGGCTGCGCTGC